CACAAAACAAACAATATAAATACTGCCAATATTTATAATAATTAGAAAGCTCTGATTATGGAGTTCTCACATAATAACATCTGACTATCAGCAAAGCTAAACATTGACCATAGTATACTTAACATGCATATTATAAAAGGTCAGAAGTAGAAGGTGCTCTGTATTCTGTAATCTTTTTTCACTGGCAAAGTATATTTAGTGGAAAAAGTGTTTTTGCTGTGTTTAATTAAAATTAAGAGAAAAGTTTAAATATCTATTAATTTTTTAAAATGTTTTTTTTTACAATTTCTGAAACTCATTATTTGGAAACTTTGCATTTTATTGTTTTTGATGCCAGTCATTTTGAATATGTATAGGACAACATTATTCAGTTTTACTTTTGATAAACTAAAGTTTTTGATGCCATCCTCTTGGACAACTCACTAGGTTTTCACTGTAAATGGCTTTGTTTGGAGATGTCAAACTGCATAATTTAACCGTGGAAAAAAAATTTATAAAAATGGTTTTGTAGTTCACTGTAAGTTATGTTATATGTGTTTTGAGACCTTTCAGTACTCAATCATACCTTCAAATTCTTAGTAGTGTGAATGACTAAAGGTAAATTTCTTAGATTGATCTGCTGTGGATCACCTGGTTCGTTTAGTTGCATGAATTTCAAGCACAATAAAATGGTAGATCCAACTTTGTTTTGTTTGTACTGAAACACTTCATACAAGTTAGATAGAAAATAAAGTGAGAGGAAGTGCTCCAGACATATACAGAAAAATATAAACATTATAAAATATATATACACTTAAAAACATAAAGTTCAGCAAATGTTACATTAATCATAAGGATAACGTACATGTATGTAACACAATTTAACTAATCTTACTAAATAAGTCTTAAATGTCTAAATCAAAACATAAAATTATAAATTTATGAAAAGAAAGAGGATGCTTGAGACTGCAGTAAATTCTTATGTTTTCTAGTTGTTATGAAAAACTTGTGATAAAGAATTTGATTTAGGTCACTATTGGTATAATAATTTAGTGAAAACATTGTCACCCTGATGTTTTATATTATAAATACTATAAATTTCATTAGAAATTTTATTGTTGGTCTCAGTGCATGAAAGAAAACGCCTTTTCTAAATATAATCCATAAGTTTTTGTTTCCTTTTTTTACAGTGTTTGATTTTTGTTGATGATGCTCAGTCTGTTGGTGATGTTCTGGAAAAACTCAGCAAAGGCAGTGAGGTATAAATAAGTTTCTTTGGAACTTTTTTCAAATTTAAAGGTTATATTAAAAAAATTTAACCCTGGAAAGTTACTGATGTTGTAGAAAAAAAGCTTGTATTTTACAGCATATTTTCTATTTCAATCACTGGATCATCCAATGCAATTTGAGTTTGTGAGAAAACTTTTCTTAGCCCAAAATCACTCTTGTGAAAAAAAATCTTTTAGGTTATTGGCTTCATAGGAAAAATGTTTGTATTCATTTATATATGAACTGAGACTCCATAAAAGTCCCCTTACTTTTGACATAAAACATGTAATTTTAGTATCTGATGTGCCCACTTGTTTTGAGTTGATTTTATATTTCAATAAGAAGAATCTCTAAAGTATAGCAGTTATACTTTTCTCTGGAAATGTAACACATAATGCCTTTTACTCTTCATCAAAACTGCTTTGAGTGAAGGTGTCTCCAAAATGCAGAGAAAAGAAAAAAATTATTCCTTTAATTTTCTTATGAAAAGGAGATGTTTTAAAGTTGTTAAAAGCACCTAACTATGCTGTGAATTGCTAGAAGATCTGATGAATTAACAATGAAGTAATCTGAAATAATTAGAAAACATTTAGGTTTAAACTTCCTGAATGTTTTTGTTTTTTAAATTTAGCAGTAAAGATGATACTAGGTTATGGTAATCAATTTTTATGTAGTCAGTTATACAAGTTATTTTTATGTTGCATTTTATTTTTGTTAGAATAGGCTAAACTCTTTTTTTTCAGTTTGTATTGAAGTATATGGTTGAGATAGTTATCTGTAATAATATCTTCTCTATTATGTCATAAATGTTAGTGATACAAAATGATTTATCATAAGTATTTTGTACATTTAATATTTGAATTTGCTTCAGATTAACAATGTATACATGCTGTTTTGTAGGTATGTGAAAGCATCTGAGATCTTTACCTGAAATGTGACACATCATAAAAATCAGATGATTTCTTTATGCTGTAATTGGATAAAAACAGTGTAGAATAGCATAACATTCTTTATTATATTTTCACTTAATGAAATGTACTGATGTGGTACATGTGGCTTCTGTTTTTTTTCTTATAACTTAAACCTCTCGGGGTGAATGTTATTTTCTTGTAAGGTACGTACATGCTGCTAGTGAGTATTATTAATAAAAATGGGACATATACTTATCTTCATACACACAAGCTAGGTATATTTTATGTGCAATTATCGTATTACTAGATGATTTTGTATACTGTGCACTATCAGTGGTTTTTGTTTGGTTTTCAGGAAAATGCTCTAATGGCATACCAGATTGCTTTTGATTTGTACGAAAGTGCTACTCAGCAGTTTTTGGCTCGGGTTCTTCAGGCTTTGAGAGCTACTGCACCAGTCCCCTCAACAATCACTTTACCATTAATTTCTTCCAAGGAGAAAAAAGAAGGGTATACCACAAGTGTTGTAGTACTAGAACATATAGATCTATAATAACCTTATTGACATGGATATAAAACCAATAAGCAAAGTTATTAGTAGTGTGTTTTACAGCTAATCTGGAGTGAGTTTCAATTTTTTTAAGAATAAAGTATTTGTTAGGCAATGAAAATTTGTTAGTAAATGTAAGCCTTGAATTTTTTGTTCTCTAGATTTAGTATATTGATTGTGAAAGTGCATTCTTGAAAGTTTTGATTTTCTGTTGCTGTGTATATGGTATTACAAATTATGAAATGTAAAAAACATAAATGAGTGGTATTTATAACATCACAGAAGCAATGGTTCAGCAAGATATTTTTCAGTATTGTTTCATATTGACTGCCTTCAATAGTTTTGTGTTTTTTATGAGTGCATTATAGCAGGTGCTATTGTATTTTTACTGCTCTAAGAAAAGTCTAAGACAAAATCTTGATATTTCCGAAGAATACCAAAATGGAAATAATGAATATTATGTTTGATCCATTCATTATTAAATAGCTCTATAATAGAACTCGCCTATCTTACCTTTAGCTTTAATGGAATAAATCTGTGTACAGATGACATATTAAGTCTCGCATCATACCACCTACTTACATGAATTAGGTTATTAGCTGCAAAGAAATAAAGAGAAAATGTTATTACTTGGATAGTTTACTATATAATTTATGCTTTCAAGTAGCTTTAATACAGTCAGGATTGCTTGACAAAATTACAGAGTCTGTAAAATGCTTAAATAGGAACTGGTATAATCTAAAAATAGGCCATACCATGAATCTAAGAAACAGGAAATGTCTGGGATAAGATGCAGAAGGATATGACAAATAGAGTATCACTTAGAAAGTCAGATCCACTATATGAGGTCACACACATAAGTGAAATATCTATTGTTTCACATGGTAGTTTTGTTAAATACTTCTAAACTTAGAAACAATACAATAATATAGCAAAGATATCAATGTTACTGCTGTGTTTAAGTAAACAGAAGATGCAAACATAAGACTTTCTATTAAATCATAGCTTCAGCTCATAGAATTTTAAGTAAAAAATATTAAAATTAATGGTTTGTGAATAGACATTGTAATTTAGTTCATGAGGTGACAGAATATGTAATGTATTCCATGATGGAATATGTCTGTTATTATTTTCTTAACTACTTTGTATTAGGTCTAGAAATACAAATAGCTATCAGGAGATGTGTATTTGTAATTTTTTTTGTTATTGTGACTTACTCCTATTCATGTATTTAACTGAAGATTAGTGATAATAATATAAGACTAGTTTTGTTCGTAATTATGTATCATTGTAAGACTTGTTTGTAGTGATACATATTGTTTATTGTTACTTCATTAAAGTGATTTTAATTCTATGAGGTAACAAAATCTTTTATACAGCTTCTTTCATTAGGCAGATTTTGCAACAACTGTATTTTGTCTTTGCATATCTTAAGAAAATAAAAACTTTTCTGTTGTATTCCTTAGAGAAACTATGGAAACAGACCAAAAGGAATTGACTGATTCTCAACCCTTACCAGAATCAACACCTAAAAAGGAAGACCTGGTGAGTGAGATATTTGTATCAGTTTTTGTTTATAACTAGTAGATGGATTCAGATTATAGTTTTCTGTATGAAATTAGGAATTGAAAGAAAAATGCTATGTTCTATAAGATTCAAATTGTAAGTATTTCAGTAACTGTATGCTACACTGCTAAATTAATTCATGTTATTGATTTAATATCTTTATTAAATTAGCAATTCAAAGAAAAATGTTCTCCCAGGTTCACATTTCTTGAATGCAATATCTCAGTAACTATATGCCTATAACTGCTAAATTAGTTCACAGTTATCAATATGTTATGTAAAGTAGTGATTCAAAAAAAAAATGTATTTAATGTGCTCTTAGGGGTCAGATTTGCAGAACTGTATTCAAACAATACATTTGTTTATATTTTTCTGTCAGTTTATTCAGCACAGAATGTAAAACCTGTTTTGTTGATAGCAGAAGTATAAGCATCATAATTTGGTAATAAGAGTATGGAAATGTATAATTATGCAAAGACAGCATTTTGTGCTACTTTTAACTTAAAATTATTGAATTCCCTCAAAGATATATATATAATATACAGGTTGTGTGTAATATTAAATCAAATAATTTTACTGATTTAGGTAATGTATTATTCTCATGAACCATGATAGTGGTTCATAATAGGGACCACAAGGAATTGCACAAAACCCTAATAGAACGTTTGGGCAAAATGTGCCTTTAACAGTAAAGATTCAGTTCAATCAACACTTTAAAACCTCTGATGTTGACTGCTAAGGTTGTACACATATAAAAATGCACAAAAAAAACATGCATGTTAGACTTATAAGGAAAAGATAATCTGCTCAAAATGGCCCTTTGGAACTCTTCTTTTTATTATTATTCTCTAGTCAGCCTACAACAAAAACAGCTTGATATATTACACCCAAACCTTTAGTAGAATACTAAGTAAGGTATGACGAAGGTTGTAGGGGTATTGAAAACTTGATCAGTTTCTTCTGTATTTTACATAAGCTAAAAAATCATAATTCTTGTGTAAACGATGTTATCACTACCCCTTGAAGTTAGCTTTCTTACAAACATCTGGTGTTCCTTTAAAAAGCTTCAGTACAGTGTGAAACAGGAATTACCAGCCAGTAACAGATGAACATTACATGACTAACATGTAGATACTCAATGCTTTGTACACTATACAATCAGTGTCTTTAGGTAGCCAACCCCTATGTTATCTATGAAGTAAAAGAGAAAAAAGAAATCAATGCACATAATATTAAATTTTATTAAACACATTTGTAGAGTGCTTACTTTATATGCTTTGTACACTATACAATCAGTGTCTGTAGGTAGCCAACCCCTATGTTATCTATGAAGTAAAAGAGAAAAAGAAATCAATGCATATAATATTAAATTTTATTAAACACATTTGTAGAGTGCTTACTTTATAAGACACGAAGATTTATCTTAAACGATGTTTTTGACATATGTTTTATATGAAAAGGCTGCTTTTTTACTGGTGAAATTGTATGTATGCTTAGAGGAGATTGTGTCTTAGTCTAGGCATATGTTTGTCCATTGCTACGCCTTATATATAGAGAATTTACTTACACAGAAACTATAAATGCTCACTATATTCTCAAACAAATCTCCAGCTGCAGCTTAACATTTTATATCTTGAACTAATTTGACCAAATAGTCAATAGCTACAGTAAATCATCATGAACTGTATCAGGTAGGTCAGTGCTTTCCAAATTGTGTGCTGCTGAAGTGTCTCAGGTGTGTCGTGAAACTTTTGCAATTATTATGTAATTTTTATTTAGTAATGTAAATTTATTATCAACTTAATACATTTTTAAAATTTAAAATTTGATTTATTTTCTCTTTGATACACAGTATAACAGTAATTTCTACTTGTCTTAGTCAGGGGGGTGCCACTAGGCCTGCCATATAGACTTATTTACTTGTACTGCAAGATGTTTGGGGCATTAAATGTGTGCTGCGAGCTAAAGAGGCTTGGGAAGCATTGATCTAGGTACTAGCTGTACTTAATATCATTACAGTGTATGAAATTAGCTACCATATCAAGTAAGCATTTGCCCATAGTTGAGTATAAAAAAACTAGCAAACAAGATAAATAAAAAAATTGGTAATTTAAAAACCTGCAAATAGGGATCATAAGAAAAGTAAGAAAACAGGACTAGAGATACTGTAGACATTATTTTGACTCCACCAAATGTAATTCTAGGTAACAGCATGTACCCAAAATAGTGATTTGTAGTTTGAGTAAATAATGTCTACAGTATTTCTAGATTTATTTCTTTACTTTTTTATGATCCCTAGTTGCAGGTGTTTAAATTCCCAATTTATTTATTTATTTTGTTTTTATATGAATTACAATATTTTTGATTTTTGTTTGGGTGTATAACTAGAATTATTTCTTCCATTCAAACACTCATTGTTGATGTGTTCAAAATGACTTGAAACATTTTATATATTATTTCATTCAATTTTGAAATATGTTTAGTATAAAATGATGTCACGAAAAGTGAAACATCATTAAAGATTATGTAAGACTTAATCCTCAAATTACAGTTTTTATACTGTTCACTAATGGTTGTTTCTATATTTTTTATATTGAGTAATTTTATGTTCTTGCTTGTTACAACAGTGTAAAGAATTGACAGAAAAGGTTAAAATCATTTTCTTTTTTTTCTAAAATGTGTGAACTACTGCAGTAACTAGTAAGATTTATTGCAATAATGATAGTAGTTTAAATTTTTTTGTTTTACATGTACATTACAAGGGTAATACAACCAACAAAGTCATGGACCCCAAAGCAATTTGGTGCATAAATAATTTAAAAAAACTTCACTTAAGTAGCCTGTGAGGTCCATATAATCTGGAATTCTAGAGTTAAAACATGTCTTCTTACTATCACTGTTGTATTATCTGAAAAAAAAGAAATTGATCTACAGTATTTGTAATTTAAATCTATATATTATACAGAGTGAGGAACAAAAGAAGCATCAAGAAAGAATTGAGAAGCTGGCCACAATACTGGGGGGTGAAGTTACCATCAATTTGCATTTGCAGTTCTTAATAAGAAACAACCATACAGATATGCTTATTCTAAAACATACCAAGGTAAGAAAGATTTTAAGTTTCTTATTTTATTATATACTTGTTTTTATTTGTTATGCTTTCTTTAAAAGAAACATATCAGACTGTGGAGACTAGTTGCACATATGTAAAAATGAATTTCAAGAGAGTGGTAGTCTAAAAATTGATTTCTTCCCAAAATGCCTAATATATCTAAAAAATACCACATCAGTTGTAAAGGAATCAAATTAAATAATATTATGAAGTTGTTTCTTGTTTATTGAATCTGTATTTCAGTAAACATGAAGTTCATTTATTCAGACAATGTCATATTGTTGTGTAGGAGCTAATGCTGCACTAGTAGAAAACCATAGTGTTTTCGTTTTTATGTTCTTTTACATCAGAAAATGTGTATGTGATTGCTCTTGTAACAACTAAACAAAAAGCTGGTAAGTATGGAAGTCTGTCTAAACAGCTGCTTAGTTGGTTATTTTAGGTACAGCCAACCTCTGTTATTTGCAAATAGAAATTAGTTTAATATCATTCTTCAACTATTTGGAATTAAAAAAAAAAAGAAGAGAAAGTTCAATGTGAATGAAGAAACCTGAAGATAAGCTGTATATATACCCTATTGGCATGACATAGAAAAACATCTGAAAACTGGAATTGTCAAGTTGAACTAAAAACAGTACTGGAATTGCATATATAGTAACATTAGAAAGCTATGATGAAAAACTTGCAATTTTGATTTGACTACATGTGATTTTTTTTTATTATCTTTCACAGAAAAGTTTTATTATGTCTGAAAATACTTCTACAGTATATCAGTGGTTAAATTAAATGTGATAACATATGTTTGGTTTACTTGACTTCTGTTCAACTGCTAGAACTATAGTCTTTAGTAAACTAGTTTAATGTTCTCAAACTAGACTTCAGATATTATTGAACTAATTGTTCAAACCAGAATTCTGAAATGATTGAACTGTCAAATCAGAAATATGTATAAAAAAAAATGTGGAAATGGTACACAAGAAAGAATTTTACACAATTTTTAAAAGATTTAAAAAGTCATAACTAATATTCTCTCTTTGAAAAATAGGATTTACAGTTTTGATTAATCCAAGTTTTGAAGCTTAATTGAAACCTTCAGTTATATATATATAGAATAGTTGTTCTCTAAAGTCTATTTTACTTTTAGGATGCTGTAAGAAACTCTGTTTGTCATACAGCCACAGTGATTGCAAACTCTATCATGCATTGTGGGACCACAAGTGATCAGTTTCTCAGGTAAGAAACTGTGTGAAGAGTGAAAAACTGTGAATGTAAATAGTTGCTTCTGATCACTGAATTGCATTAAAAGTCATAATATAGAATTTTGTTAATAACAAGTAATTTATTAATTTGATGTTTTTTAAATACAAACTAAACATGTTTTATATTTTCTCTAAATATGAATTTACATATAATATGTAATATAATTTACAGCACTAAGTGTTTCTTACATATTGATACAAAGCTGATGTGATTCTATTTCTAGTACAAATTCCTAGAATATAAGAAAGTAAACAATTTTGGTGCTTGAGTGCAGAGAAGAATGAATCAACCATGCTGTTAATCTTTGAAGATAGTCATTTATTAATATCAGTACTAGTTTTGGAACTTCGAACTTTTATTATTACTGTTTATATAAGCTTAGTGCAGCTCTTCTTTTATGCTACATTTGAATACAACTTATTTTAACTTGTAACAAAAAATTATTTTCCTCTGAAAAAAATTTTGTTGATGAATAATTAATTTTAAATGTGATATTATGATTTTTGGACTTTTTTTTTTATTGTTGAAATAAACTTTTATTTAAATTTCAGGGACAATTTAGATTGGTTAGCTAGAGCCACAAACTGGGCCAAATTTACTGCAACTGCTAGCTTGGGAGTTATTCATAAGGTGAGTTCATAAGTTAATAAATAAAAACATTTGTGCTTTTATTCTTTTTTTTATTTTATTTAGTAAAACATTATGTAAATTTCTCAGCTTAAACAATTATCTTTCCAAGACTAAAACACTTGCCTTTATCTCAGTTTGTGGTTAATGAGGATTGTTTTCATTTATGAAATATTGATATTTCAGGAAGACATGGTAGAGATTCAATATTATTGCCTCTTTTTTGTTTCACAATTATTTTTAGATTGTGTGCTTGGTATTTGACCAAGAAATGCTAATGTTTGTTAAACTGAAAGCACAAAGGATAGTGTACATATGTTTTGGGGAGGTTCAAACTGTTGAAAATATAATTTAACTAAAATAATATGTTGTGATTGTAAAACATATTTGGAAATTTTACATTTTAATTTCCTGCTGAACAATAGGAAGTAAAATATACACTGCAAACTTACAGGGCCATGAAAAGGAGGCACTACATTTGATGTCATCTTATTTACCAAAAGATTCAGGACCAGGAAGTGGATACACAGAAGGTGGTGGTCTGTATGCCCTGGGGCTGATTCACGCTAATCATGGTGCTGCTATCATTGATTATCTTTTGAATCAATTGAAAGATGCATCCAATGAGGTGAGAACAGATGACTGTGTGTTAGTGTTTTCTTTTTAAAATTCATCATAAAGATACATTCTGATTTAGTTTTATCTAAATATTTTGAAATGTGCTTCTTTTTAATTTAATGTAGTTGCTGTAATTTTAATAGCATGTGTTTTTGTTGAAGACTGTTTGCTGATTTTTATAGATATGAAACAGCTGATTGTCTTCAAACTTGTAGATCTAAGTATTTGATTAATTTATGAAGAAAAATTAACATCCATCCAATATACATTTTATTAAGATACAATACTTAAGAAAATAATTTGTATTTGTAGATTCTTCTGATAATCTTTAATACATATGTTTATGTTTTTATCTGAATGTGATATTTTCCTAGTACAACATGCACAAGCAATATGAGTACACAGATCACCTTAAGATTTACAAGTAATATACTTCAAAAGCTTAAAAATAGATTTCAGAAAAAGAAATTTGAAATATGATACATTAAAATTATAAACTACATCAAATTGGGAGTAGTAATTTAAATTTTATTAGTTCTTTCATGAAGAATCAATATTGATGATAGGTGTTTCTAACCATGATATTTTTTATGCAGATGATAAGGCATGGAGGTTGTTTAGGTTTAGGTTTAGCAGCCATGGGAACACAAAGGCAAGGTATGGATTTTTTTTTTTTATCAAGTATATTTGCTCTCTTAAAAGTATTTAAATTTGATTTATCTGGCAAATTATAGATATGAAACTATTTTGCTTTATTAAGGGTGGTCTGAGAAGTTTAGCTATATTTAGGAAATTATTAGCCAACAAAGTTATATGGATGAATAAGATATATTAGAAATATTCAATTTAGATGTATATCCTTTTTATCCTCTTTGAATGTAAATCAGTACTGTCGAATTGTTACCTGTACTATGTTTAATATATTCGCATGGTAGAGTAGTTGGTGCTTGTTTCTTTTCATTTCATGTGTATGTCTATAGTGTGTAGTATTATTCATATTGTGGTGCATATAAGTAACATGTAGAATAGAGGAATTTTTATTTGATGGTGTACCTAAGACCTAAAAATGTGTGTGGTAATGTTAAAAAAATTGGATTGTTCTTATTAGAAATTTCATTTATCCGATGACCACTGGCTACTAACTTTTTGCGTAGCCAACGCAAGTCTTGCTATAATCAACTCTATCTAGCTATCAGGCAGCCTTATCGAACAACTTCTGTTTCTCCAAGTTTTGTGAGGTTTTGTATTTCCATCCTTTTGAGTCGTGCTTCCTCCATGTTCCTTTGATTTGCCTGATTGGGATCTCAGCGTGGTCTTTATGCTCTTTCCCATCCTCCCTTTGAACCTTTGTCTATGTGTTCCATGTACCATTTATACCTCAAGACCTGTTTCCTTCTCCTTCTTGCTTGTGGACATTGGCGATCAGATATTTATGCTGTGTACGTTACCCTCATCCTCTAACATTCTCCTTGTGTCATCCTACATCCTGACCAATCCTTCCTTCTTAGACCTATGCTGCCCATGAAGGTGTTTTGGCTGTCACACCAATTTCCTTACCTTCCATCTCCCACCTATACTCCCATTCTGATCCTGATAAGCTTTTTTTTCCAGTTTGCTCCTTACTGTCTCCTTATGAGCTTCATGTTCCGGATTTTTTAGCAGTGCTTAGAGGGCAGAAAGAAGATCAAGATAACTTTGTGTGAGGGAAATAGCAGAGGGAGCTAGCTATGCCAATATAGGTGGCACAATACTATTGATGGAGAGTAGTCACATGATATGTACAGGTTCCAAAATGGTGCAAAATTGGTGGGATATATAGATTGGTGCATTGAGCATGAATATTTTTTAGCAGTGCTTAGAGGGCAGAAAGAAGATCAAGATAACTTTGTGTGACAGGAGATAAGTGCCTATTGGAAATACATTTTCATTGTAAGAAAATGTTAACTTTTGCCAAAATTAACTTTTATTCTTTTAGAAGTTACTGTGACAAGGTTTATAAATTTAACAACATGGTTTGATATTGCTGTGTAGAACCATCAGTTTGGACATGCTAACAACATAGCACTGTAGCAGAAAGCTAGATAATTAGCATTAAATTTCTAATTTCTCCTTATAGATAGTTAAGTCATTTTGGTAATTTTAAACTAAAGATCAATTTATGTTTTTAATCTTTCTATATGTGGTGGTTTGATGTTGAATTATAATATATAGTATTGGTTTCACTTTTAAAAGTCGTATACATTTCACAGCATATACAAAATGTCACTTTATATAGTAAGAATGATAATTAGTAAACATATTTTTCAATAAGAATTGTAATTTTACAAGAAAAAAAAGCATTAAATATGTGGTGTTATGTTACAGCACATAACTGCTTACAGAAAATGGAGTTTTTTTTTATAATTCTGTTTATTTCAGAATATTACAAATTGTAATGCAAAATAAATTTGTGCTTGACTTGTGTGCCAGTTATTTGGGTTTTCTCATTCCTGTTAATTTGTATGGAAAAGCTTTAACCTGGTTAACTTACGAGAGCGCTACATGGTGCGTATGTTGTTAGTTGTTTACTTCTCACTCTGTTTTTTGGTATTAAATATTTAATAAATATATATCAACAAATGATGTAAAAGATGCTACATTCACATTATTTGTGCAATATATTTATAAGTATATGTATATTTTTCTGTATCATATCATAAAGAAACTTAAATAATTTTTGAGTCAGTCTACAGGTTTACAAAACCTTTCAGTTGGATTACTTTTACATGTGAATACACATAGATGTTAGAGACACTATAAGAGAAATCTGTTGACACAATTTCAGAACTGTTTTGTATTGTTGATCTTCTGACAACAGGAAACTTACATTGAGATATTGAATTATGGTTTTTGGCTTATGGAGCTTCACTAAATTTTGATCAAAGTAAATTAGGTTTGATTGATTTAACACTAATAAGCAAGAAAAAAAGACTCATTTTTGAATTATTTAAGTTAGAATTAAGAAAGAAGGTCCCAGAGTGTGGTCCAATGGTTAACATGTCAGACTATGAATCTGAGGTTTTGTAGGTCACACCTCATTACCCTCCTGCCTCAATCAAGCTCTGCACCTTAGGAATATTATATGGTTGATGGTCAAATCCCCTGTTTGGTTAGTGTAGCTCAAGAGTTGGCAGACAGTGGTGTTGATCAGCTGCTTTCCCTCTAGCCCATCACTTCAAAATTAAAGACAGTAAGCACAGATAGCACTCTAGTAGTTTTGTGTGAAATTCAACAAAAAAAAACAATTAATGTATAGATTCGTTACTCTACTTTTTTAAATGCTTAAAACTTTTTATTTGTGTGAGACAAGTCTTTGTTATTTTATATACTGAGCTAAAACAATTTTTGGGGGGCTACAAAAACATTTGGTATAATGTGTGATATTTTAGTTTTTTTTTACAAAATGTGAATGCTGTATATATATTTATACATGCATTCACATGAAATTCTAGACACCTAGGCCAAAAACAAGTGTTACGCACAAAGAACAGATAAGCGAAACTGTGCTTCTCTTTTCTTCTTTTTTTTTTCATGAGGAGCAACTACATTCCCACAAGTGGTTGTAGATGATGAATAATTGCTTTAAATGTGGGACATTGTGAGATTGAGAACCTGTATCTACTTCTATTTATTAAGTTTTAATTCTAGTTGCAACAAGTTTCATTCCCACAAGTGGTTGTAGATGATGAATAATTGCTTTAAATGTGGGACATTGTATGATTGAGAACCTGTATCTACTTCTAATTCTTAAGTTTTAATTCTAGTTTCAGGCTTTTATGTAAATGTAAATTTGTCAGATATCTCTCCTGCTAGGGCCTATTTTGCTGATCCAACATTCTAGTTTGATCTAGTCAATTGGAATTTTCTTTAAATCATTTAATGGAAGGAATTGCTTTTGTTTAATGCTCTTTTTTCTTTAGTTAATTGTTACTTTTGTGTTTTCATTATAAACATGTTTGTTTCTGTCTGTATACAAATCCAGTTGATAGATTTTTTAGCTAAAGTTAGTTACATATACTGATGTTCTTGATTTTTCTTATGTCTTCAGATGTATATGAACAATTAAAGTTCAACTTGTACCAAGATGATGCTGTCACTGGTGAAGCTGCTGGTATAGCCATGGGTTTAGTTATGTTAGGTTCAAAATCTGCTACAGCTGTAGAAGATATGGTTGCCGTAAGTGATTTTCAAACAATTTCTTTAATCATACTTACCATAAAATGTAATCACTCACTATTTGTAGGTTTTTTGCTTTTTTTTTAAAGTAAGATCCTCTAGTTGTTAGAAACAAGTGTTTAAGCTAAGATGTGATTTAACTTCAGCAACTTGATTCAGTGTTTAAAAACTCATAAAATATTAGTTTAAGTTTAATACTTTTTGAATGAAAATTTATCAAAAATGCAAAAAAAATTTCTAAAGAAAAAAAAAAGTCACTTTAAAATATCTGAAACATTATCTGCTTTTTTGTGATTTTAATATAGAAATTTAACTTTTAAGGAAATTGGTATTTGGAATGTAATATTTGGCTAAAAACTTTGTGGCAGAAAAAATCCTTTATAATCATTTAGCTGCTTGTAAGTTTTTGGTTCAATATATCCATTCTACTAGCTGTGATACTCATGAGAGTGGCAAGGTTCCACTGATGGGCTACATTAAAGTCGTTTTCCTCATACAAGCTTCTATGTACTACAGCTATAATGTAGTGCAGTTGGAACAGATGACTATAGTAATATTGAAATTTGTTATTGTGATATTTGTTGCAACTGATTTGTATGTGCTGCTGTCTCTAGAGTAGATATTGTAGTGTGAACAACTTAGATGTGTTAGAATTTACAAAAGGCTAGGTAAAATATTGCATTTATCATATTGGAACATTTATGTTTTCAGTATGCTCAAGAAACTCAACATGAAAAGATCTTGAGAGGTCTGGCAGTGGGGATCTCATTGACCATGTATGGACGTTTAGAGGAGGCAGATACTTTGATTGAAAGTTTATGTAGAGATAAAGACCCTCTTCTCAGACGTTCTGGTGTATATACTATAGCCATAGCTTATTGCGGAACAGGAAACAATGCAGCTATTCGACGATTGCTGCATGTTGCTGTAAGTAATATTACTGTTCATTTAGTAAAATTTATTGGAATACAACTTTATTAAAAAAATTAAGATATGTATTACCACAACATGTATAAACATAACCCTTTTTGTAGTTAAGAATGTAAGTGCTTTGTTTGATTTCTTCATGGTCAGTTACTTTTTAAGTAATCTTTTCTTAGTAACAATATCTTCTGGGAAAGTTCGTTTTAAAATGTTTTTCTTGTGAACAGGTGATTCAGAAGTCCGTTAACAGGTAAATAAATCAGAAATAGAGAGGTATAGGAAAATATTTGTTAGTAGTGTGGAAGGAGGTATTGTGGGCTTACCTTGTGCCAGTATTGTGGAAGCTAATCAAGGCCAACTTCAAAGTCGTGTCATTAGAAAATGATTAATATGCATTATACACCTAAAATGTCAGTTACAAAGGTGCTGACATACATTTTAAACCAAAAAATTACTAAAATCGCTCCTATAACTCATGCTCTAATTTTACTTATATGACCTATGAATGTGACACTCCTAGTTTGACTGTTTTGTGTGTAGTCAATGAGGATGTCATTGAATCTGTAGAGGTACTGTTATTTTACATAGTTTTATTTTAAATGTTGAAATTAATATAGATATATTTCTAATTGTTGTTGTAAATTAGCAACAACTATTAAGTTAATCATGTTTTAGTTTGAATGGTTTGTCTAGTACTTTGGATTTTAAGTGTTTCAGTAACATTTTCTTCCACTAATTTTGATTTTTGATTAGTGAAATCTTTTAAGGAAGTACCCATTACCGAAAAGATTACAATTTATAGCAAACAAAAGAAAAACAACAACTTTAATAATGTTATTGTTTGTTTTCGTCCACTCTACTGCCTGTATTCTGACTGAAGAATGCAGGTTTCGCTTGTGGACAACAATAAAATTAGATCATGTGCCATATAATAACTTTAGTAGTGTACTTGTGTACATACTAGAGATAGGAGCACATGATCACAAGAACTTACCTTTTTGTTATGGATCAAATGTGTGTGTGGGTATATATGTAAAATACAGATTAAAACTTTGCTAGGTTGTAGGCTGAGTATTTTAGGATCTTTCTATGTATAATATATATTTGATTTTTGGACTTTTTTTTCAACTGGATACAGTTAATTTATTTGCATGGTTTTTGTGTTAAATCTGGAATTATAACCAATTTTGAAAATTTTGTATTAGTTGAAGCATCAAAATGTTTTGTCGTGTAAGTAAAATTACTTTTAATGAATAAAACCATAGGATCTGAATTTGTGTCAAGTTAGTGACTTGGTGTATAATTAGATTATTTGTGTGAGAGTAAACAGTGCATGTTTACTGTTCATTTGCTAATGCATTGTCTTGTGATCACATAGTAACACTTAAAAGCATTTCAGATTAATGATACTAGCTGAAAATAGGGTTTTCTTGCTGCCATTTATTGATAATGAAATTTATATTCATGGGCTTAGATCAGTTGAAAAAATGTAATATGATTTAAAAAATATTAAAGTTATGCCCCATTACTATTGAATAATTTTATTATCATTGGTACACGCACACTGTAGTTATTTTGTGAATATTCTGAACATTTTGATGTATGTTTTCCATGTGATTTGGAAATTACTTTTTGTGAGGAGTATTCTTAAAAGTAAATATAATTATAAGACAAATGTCAAATGTGATAGCGGTGTTATATTTTTCTTTCCATTAGTGTGACCTTCAAACTTTCATTGTTGATAATTTTTTGTTTTATAGTTTAAATAATATTTGTATTTTTATTATTGCATTTATTATTTTTATTGTGTAGGTTTTTAGCTCCTTAATGGTTATTGAAGAC